GGTGTGCCAGTGGGGAGGAGGTGTGGAGGGGAAGTGGAGAGCTGCTGCCACTTGTTGTCGCTGTGTCTCGAAGCTCTCCAATTGACTGACGTATGAGATGAACCATTGCTGCCTTCTGCTCCATAGACCTGTGAATCAGAGAGTTACATAATAGAAAAGAGATATAGAGAACTGTGGGATACTTATGATTGTGAAAGATCGTGAAAGGGGAAATGGGAGATACAGGCAGAAGTAATGGCAGAATGGTAAAGATGAGAGAAGAAAGAGAGAAAGGAGGAGGGAAGAGTAGACTCACTGGCTCCGTAAGAGGTAGGAGAGGTAGTGGTGAGAAGGTGTGTGAAGGGGAGATATGAGGGAGGGAGATGAGCTGGACAGAGGAGACAGTCTGTACTTCAACTGCCACATGTCAGTCACTCCTGTAGAGCAAAATTGCCCACTGATGCTACTAGCAAATTGGAAGAACCAAAAGTCCCACCAGAACAAGAACTGTCTAAGTCCACTCAACTGGACTTAGGCAGTTCTTTCACTGGTGCTTGCTACATTACCCAGTATTGTATGTTAGTGGTAAGTTTTATGGTAGTGTTAGTGCAATGGGAAGAATTTACCATCAGAGTCTGGTAGGTCATGGACAGAGCAGTTGACAGAAGGTAAGAGAATCTTGAACTTTGTGTCCTCAACTCCAACCTCCACCTCAAAACTCTAGACAGAGGTAGAGAGCTCAATAATACCTTTAAAATTGAGCATAAACATGAAGGGACAGTAGAACCATTTTGGCCTCATCCTAAGGCCTTCTTTGGCTAAAAGAGTGTTTGTGGAGACAGTAACTGACCTTGCTGCTGCTCTTTCTCTTTGGTTTCTTCTCCACACACACCAGGACAACGGCAGAGGCAAACACTACAAGATGAAGACAATACACCACAATACCCCCTCTCTCTCCTCTCCTTCTATTGATTTACTAACATTTCGTGAGCCTAACTCACTAACTCACTCACTCTATGCATCAATTTCACCTGGTATTACACTAATGTATCAGTGTGTGGTAGAACCACAGTGTCATTTCAGAGGGCCCTATTTCATAGGTTCCACTGTAGCTATCTCTTCTCACTGCTAACCAAAGCAGGTTGCAAGAGGTCCATGTCCTTTCTTCCAGCTGGTTCTAGCAGCCCTCAGGTCTTCGTTTGGGTTCAGCCACATCACGTCTCCGTGGTACAGCAACTGGGCCACCGACAGACTCAGTCCTGACTGTAATGCAAGAATTCAAGGGAAGGTAAGGCTTAAGAGCTAAGGTGTTGAGTTAAGCAATCTGAGAACATGTGCCTAAGTTCCTAGCATTTTACTCTGTAGAATTTCCTTTCTGCAATGGTAAAGATCAGAAGAGGCTTTATAAAACACTGGAAGGGCAAAAAAAATTGTATGTGCATGGGGAAGCTATTATATCATCATGCAAACTGTATGTAAGAGGAACGTACGGGAGCAGTGTGGGAGTTCTCAGAGAGAATGGTGTGAAACAGAGAGCTGTAGGTCTCACTGACTCTCTGCATCTCATTGATATAGTTAGCCACACACGCCATCCCCTCCACCACATCTGGAGATACATAACCGAGCATAATTTAAGTTAAGAAGAGAGAGGATAATGCAGAAAACACAGATGCATGGGTGGATAAACTGATTGATTTAAAAATGAAAAGCACTGAACATTTTACAGTGTGTGAGAAAGAGGGTATATTTGAAAAGGAGAGAGGCAACTGAAGAGAAATAAGAGAGAAGCAGTGGCTATGGACAATACCTGATAGGTGGGCCCTTTCTTCACTGTCTGGTGGGGAATTATCAATCATGGCATTCAGGAAGAGAGGATAGCGGGACAATCTCTGCAGGAGAGAGAACCAAGAAAACTAAAACAAATGCATTAGTGAGTGAACAAGATTTACAGTCGAATAAAGAATTGAGACTAGGTTAGTTCCCTTCACTTTGCCAATCCAAGTATCTAGCTAGGTTTCATATGTACTGCACTTGGTGGCCCATCTGCATGGTAACATACCACGATTGGCTTGGCAAAGAGGGCAGGTAGGGAGAGGGAGTGGTGATGGTGGGGATTCCTGGCCTCCAGAAACTCCTTCAACTCAGCACCATTCTCACCTATACCGTAATAACCACACTCGTTTCACAACATAATAATATACTTTTATCATGAAATATAGCAATTTAGTTCTGTGATTTAGCATTGCAGTTGAAAACCACCAAATTTGACATACCTGACTGGAGGAGGTGTTTGATTTTGGAGTGGCTGGCACAGAAGGTGCTGTACACTCTGAAGCTCTCCATGTACATCAGGAAGGTCCCAGCTATCGCAGACACCATGTTCTGTGATGGAGAATCAACACAGAATACAGACATAATCCTTCAAAACCACACGAAAGTCGATGAGTGTGTACCTTCAAGGAACTTTCTCCCTGTGCGGCATCAGACGGAGCAATCTCCAGCTTCATAGCTTCCTATGTAGTTGAATTGAGGGGGAAAAGCACACTAGCTGATGATCACAGACAATGTAGATAAGCCCGGTCATGGCACGCTCAGCTTTCAGACTCAACTCCCCAAGGATTAACATTGCAAACCTAAAAACCCTTGTGAAAACACTCATCATGAAAGCAGTCAGCTTGCATGAGTGCCACAAACGTAGTTCAATTCCTGAAAGGTAGAGGTGCTATTATACCTCTAGTCCCCTGGAGAAACTTGGTCTGGACTGCCAACCTTCACAGTGTTTCCCTCCAGAGCTGCCAGCTGTATGGGAGAGGCTCACAGGACACTGGTGTGTGACTGGTCATGTGACTAGGTCAGGTGCTGACGAGACTTACGTCATATGGGGAGAGAGAATTGGCTCTGATTGCAGGGCGCAGATCCTGTTCACTCACGACACATGCAGCAAACTGCACAAGAAAATCAACATCACAGTACTTTGTAACTGCGCTAGGTCCAACTTTTGCGACAAAACCTTTTTTCGCGAAAGCTCCAAAACTACATGTATAAGACTTGAGCCATATGTATACAGTTCCACAATATAACCACAGCCCTGACTGTCCCTATGTCCAGAAGTCCATGGGTCATCGCATCTTCTCTCAGCTTCCTCTTCGTCTCACTCTCTGGAGTCCCAACTCAGTTTTGACATGCGTACTTGAGTCCTGACCTCACTGTAGGTGGGTATTACCCAACTGAGCTTGCCTTGGAAGGGAGTTGATCTGGCTCTCGTGAGACACTTCCGCTGTGTAGCTTTTATTGGAGTTCTCGTGTCATCTATAAATAGTGGTCATGTGAGGAATGAGTGTATAGCAGCAATGCTCCCCAACCGTAGGAATTTTTATCAATAGAAAGAAGTGAATAGACTTATCATGCAAGGCCTAATAATATCAGATTTAGTGTTGCTTGCAGTAGCGTTCAATAAAGCTGTTAGGAACCTCTTATTATTGCCCACCTCTGGCTGGAGTTGGTACAGTGAGCTGTTGAATGGCCTCCTGTGAGAGCTCAGTGTTGGACGAGGGAGGGGCAGGGCATATGAGGCTCTCCACAATCTGATTGGTCAGTTCCGAGACGGGCATCTCGATGTGGCAGGTCTTGAGTGATAGGGAAACTGTGGGAGCTATAGTATACAATAGTAGGAGGAGGAAATGAGGGGGGAAATGAGGGAGTTCCCTGTCATTATAATTCCAAGCTACCAAATGCAGATGTTATCTTCACAAATAATAATCATCAGTAGCTATAGTTTTGTCGTACCGTCCAGTGAGCTCCGGGTGCCAACCCATCCGGCCTTCCTCACACTCCTCCCGTTCACCCTCGTCACCTCGTCACCCTCCCACACCCCACACCGATCTGCCACACCCCCTTCCTCCACTCGGCTCACCAGTACCGTCTCCAGTCTGTTCCCACCCACGTCCCATACCGGTTCCAGCATCAGACCTGACAACAAAACCATGTAAGTTATAGAAACAGTGGAAGCCCTCTAATGCCGGCATAAATGGAACAGAAAAGTGTATATAAGGTGAGGTGTTCTTTTCAGGGTTGAAGAACTGTTCTGGGAAAAAGATGTGCCCTCATTTCAGAGGTGTCCTTAGAGAGGGGCTCTACTGTAGCTATATCCATTAGTCACTGAAGTGAAGTAATTTTGCATAAGGTGTAAAGGTTTGCAAGAATCAGTGTCCTACCAAAGGCAGTGGTGGTGCAGTTTTGAATGTCAGGCTGAGAGAGAAAGACTGTGTGAGTCCACTTCTGACACATCTCCAGATGAGTGTACTCCTGCTGTAGATGGGGAACATTGTCATAAGGGGAGAATGAGGAGGAACCAGTGCTTTACCTGATCTCGTAACAACTCATTTGGTCCAGGAGTTTCACACTCTTTTGATAGGGAGATAATTATCATCGTCAACAGTAGAGCTACCCACAATTAGCTACTCACCAAATCCTCCATCTTCTCTCTCGTTTCTCAGTCGAATGAAGTGGTCCCTAGACTCCAACTATCTTACCTACAGATACAGACAAATGTACCTTATATGATTGAGCTCTATTTATTGAATACTGTACGCTGTAAAATCAAATCCAGAAGCCAATGCGATAGGTGGAAATTTGTGTATATATCAGGGTTGAATGCATGCAAGAACTGTTCTTGAAGGTGTCCTTAGAGAGGGGTTCAACTATAGATGGAGTCAATACTGCTTGCTGCCTACTGTACACTACCGATTGAGTAACGTAGGCTATAATTAAGGGGCTTACCCTGCAGCAGGCATGGAGGATGACAGTGATTGTGGTGTTGTCACGGTGAGGGACCGAGACAACTCTGTTGCCAGGGGTGACGACCTTTATCACCGGGGACAGTGGGGAGATTGGTTCAGGAGAAAAAGAAGGCGGGGCATCTGTATCAGTTGTCTCCTGCAGACAATTGGACATGTAATATGCAAACAGAATGCAGTATAAGTGAACGTGACATCTAGTAGAGCTTCCAACTTCACGAATCCACCTGTAACTATGCGAAATTTTTACACACTTTACGAGCAAAAATCTCGGGGAAGAGCACTTCAGAAGGCGTGGCAAACATTACAACTAACGGTGTGTATGTCTCAACAAATTGGTAACGAGGTAGAAAGGCAAGGTGAGCCAAACAAGTCAACTACACCCAGGACAGCTCTTTCTTTTTCAAAGAAGAAGAGCTGCCCTGGGTGGGATTCGAACCCATGACACTCTGCAGTATGTAAGTGCGAAATACGGACAAGTTACACAAAACTGCATAGGTCCCCTCTCATTAGCTGTGATATCCATGCACCATTCAAGACCTAGTTGCTGTGGATTTTCATACCTCCCTAGAGTAGAGTCTCACCTCCATTTCAGAGTAGGACTGAGCGAGAGAGTGGAGTGCTGAGGGTGGTAGCATGGGATAAGGTCCTGATATCTCCATACTCCTGTTGTAATAGTTGGAGCCAATGTTGATCCAGACATTCTCACTCAGGTACATACCGTATACTTACCTCAGTGAAGACCTCTTATCTGTCGCCATCCTCTGGAACATCTGTTGAGAGAGAAATGTATCAAAAATTCAACATGGGGGACACAAAGATTATTTTAATTTTGATCAGGTCACACAAATTGATATCTTGTCTTGATTTACGGGGCACATTAATTACCTTGGTCTTGTGACTTTTCCATTTACCACTCTGTCGAGAAATGTGAGACTATAGTACATAGCAGGCAATGTGGGGTAGTTTGGTAGGCTTACAGTTGGGGAGAGGGGTGACTTGCCACTTCTACTGAACTTGAAGGAGCCATAGTTTGAGGTGGACGACGGAATACTACGAGCACTGACCTACAAACAGAAGAGAGGAAAATGTTCTTTTTCTTCTATTAGATCTTCAGTGAAACAACAGAATAAAGGGGACATTCAGAGTGATCAGATGTGTCCCTTATTCGGAGGTATACTGTGGCAGACTCACGATGGCATGGAGTGAGGCCACTGAGAACACGCCCAGTTTCCCAGAGCCAGTTTGGTTGGTCCTGGCATGGAACGCCAGGAGTGTCGGTGTTGTGCATTCTGAGCTTGGCAGGGAGGCCAGGTAGCATCGCGATCTACAGCAGAGAGAGAAAGAAAAGAATACAGAAGATTGAGAATATCTGCTCTCTTTGCCTTTAAACTCAGACACTGTGATTGTGCTAAATTAATGAACGCAGACACTGTGTTTGGCTAAACAAAGAGAGTAAAAAGAGAGAGACCTAGTTTTTGACTGGATAACTATAATAATATTCTAGAAGTGAGAGAAATGGAGTTTTCTGTGCCATACCTGTATATGTCCACGTTGTATTTCTCAATGTTCTCTAGACAAGTCACCAACTGAAAGGGAAAGTGGGAGAGTGTGTGCGTCAGCTAATACCTCTTCACACCATACTGTATTATTGCTAAATAGCTACACACAGAATGTTTATCTTGAGCAGTGAAAGGAAGAAAAGAAAATGTGGCTGATTTGTTTTGATGCCATTGATCTTGTATTGTAGTCAGTGACAGGTGCCACATTTAGTTCTGTCAGGTTCTTTAGCTGAGTCTCCTGCCAGTTACAGTATTACATATTATAGTGTGTGTAGCTGTATATGCACACTCACCTTCTCAATGGCTTTAGTGTGATCTTCCACTTCACCCTGTATAGAATATCAGAGGAAATCGTGAGTATAAGATACGTATTTCACCCCAACTTTTATTATCTGCATTGCTTCATCCTTGCTGGAGTGGTTTGTCATAGCCAAGGCAGCAGCTGAAATAAGGAGAGGGGCAAAGTGAGAATACTCTTATGTGGATCTACATAGCAAGGCTGTAGGTTCCTATGCTTACCACAGTGAATGTTGGCAATCCAATCATCCATCTCTGAGACACTTGTTGTCTAGTTTGAAAAGCATCACATGATAATCACATGAGAGGTGACATGATTCTAAGGTACAGTCACATGATTCTAGGGTCTCACTCTAGCTAATCACATGACCTGTGAGTTGTTTACCTGGAGGTAGTAGGTGTTGCCATTGGCAGTGCTGAGACAGAAGATGTAGTCTCTCTTGACGTGGTCGTGGACTGCATGGGCCAGACTCAGACTGAGGTCTAGAGAGATGGAGAGAGGGGGGAGGGAAATTTGTGACCACAGTAATGACGCTCTCCAATTTGTATAGCAACATGCTCTGGCAGCAAATTTTGTGTTGCATCACTATGCTGGCTCAGCTTCATGCCGTGCTTGCTTAATTGCCTGGTTGTTTAACCACATTATTAATTATTCATGCACTAATCGTAAACAATTTTGTGAATAGATAACTTGCCAAAACACGTGTGTTGCATTTGTTCCAGTCAACAAAATAGCTACTACACCTGAAGACACAATGTGGCATGCTTCAGTTGTAGTAGCTATTTTTGTTGACTGTAGTGTTAGTGATGACACATCCTAAACAACAGTCTGCAGCTGCAGAGCTACACTGACACTACTGGTATCTGTTTTGAAAGTTGACAAAGTTTGTTTGTGGCGAAGAACTATGTCAGACGAATGAGGCTGGCTATAGTACACCTTGTGAAAGCTATTTATACTCATTTGGTAGAGTATGATCAACCATTACTACTGCTGCACACCAACTAAAGAATGGGGTACTTCCACTTTGTTTTGGTGTCTGTAATGTCCTTCTATTCGGTGCAGAACGAAGCCTTTGAATGTGATGGTAAGACAATTCGCATGCTAGCATTGAATAAGTCTGTGATTGGTGATTGCTGTACATTTCTCTCAGTTGTGAGGCTAGCTGCAGCAGTTCATGAGACATTGAGTCAATTCATGACTGAAATGAGGGAAGGCCTGGCTACTGTTAAAGAAAACCTAGCCAACATCCAGCAACAAGTCAATTTTCTAACTGAGACTGTGAGCAACATGGAACAAAACAGCAATGATGAGCAGACGACAGGACTACGTACTCAGCTGGATATGGTTAAGTCTCTACTGATCTCAGTCAATACTAGTATGAGTGAAGGACTCTCGGCAGTCAATACTAGTATGAGTGAAGGACTCTCGGCAGTCAATACTAGTATGAGTGAAGGACTCTCGGCAGTTAAGACTGAACTTCAAGAACACAGCAGCCAGACAGCCTCAGAGCTAGCAGGACTGGAGACCAACCAGGAGACCATTGACTCCAAGTTAGACTATCTAAACTCTAAACAAGATGGTCTCAGTATGGCAGTGCACTCTGAACTGGAGCGGAATGTACTGACCGATGTTACAAAGGAACTGAAGAAGACTGCTGACTACATACTTGGACAGGTGTATGGACCCACACCCCCATATAAATGTGGATGAACAGGAGGTTGGAGACGTGTGGTCTACCTGAACATGACAGACACCAACACCAACTGTCCCTCTGGCTGGCAGCTCACTAGTTACTCCAAGAGGACCTGTGGTAAAGTTAACACCAGCAGTCTCTCCTGTGACTCAGTCTTCTTCTCTGCCGGTGGAGGAGACTACACTAGTGTGTGTGGCTCTATCAGAGCCTACCAGTATGGTCAAAGTGATGCATTTGAGGCATATCACGATGGAGAAGTGACCACAATAGATGGAGCCTATGTTGCTGGTGTTAGTCTCACACATGGCAGTCCACGACAACACATCTGGACATTTGCAGCTGGTGCTTCTGAGGCCCAACCCAACTTGGGAAGATGCCTGTCCTTGTGATGCTAGCATCAACATTAACATCCCACCATTTGTGGGTGGAGACTATTTCTGTGAATCAGGAGTCAACTCAGGGCCACCAAGTGTAGTCTTGTATTCGGATGATCCACTCTGGGATGGTGAAAGCTGTGGTAGCAGCAGTAGCTGTTGCTCATTCAACAATCCTCCATACTTCACTAAGACACTCCCCAGCCTCACCTCTGACCCTATAGAGGTCAGATTGTGTCGATGGGGAAGTGGGGAAGATATACCAGTTGAGTTTATTGAACTCTATGTCAAATAGTGACACTAGGACTACGAAGTGAACGATTCTGTGTATGTAGTTATTGTAGCACTCAACTGCTCAACTGGTTTATACATAAGACTGAGTTTAGAGGTACGTAACTGTCCTATCCTCAGTGGCGGTAACTATTATTGGCACTGAAACAGGATTGCGAGCTAGTATTTAAATTTCTGGACTGTAGACGAACCAGGTAGGACGTACGTGTTACCTTGGTTAGGCAATCAGAGCCCTAAGTATTGCCCTGGATGCAGACAACTCAGGGCACTCTGAATACTAAGATGTGCAATTAAGGCAGCTCCACTTCTAGCCCATGCTTGCTTGGCAAGTGGATGATCGATTTGAGTCCACAGTTCAGTGGGGACGATCGCATTGTTAAGAGGGGCAAACCCCTGAAATGCAGCCCAAGGACCGGAAGGCATATCTCATATCACAGTATGTTTTATGTAGCTCAGTACAGCAGTGATAAAAATATGCACTAGATAGATTAAAGCCCACTTTGGACCGTTAAATTAGTGGCAGAATAGTGTGCAGATGCATATAAACGGCGCGAAGAAAGTGAGATTCCAGCTACTATGGTTAGCAATCAGAGCCCTAAGTATTGCCCTGGATGCAGACAACTCAGGGCACTCTGAATACTAAGATGTGCAATTAAGGCAGCTCCACTTCTAGCCCATGCTTGCTTGGCAAGTGGATTATCGATTTGAGTCACAGTTCAGGGGGACGATCCATTTTAAGAGGGGCAAACCCCTGAAAATGCATCCCAAGGACCGGAAAGGCATTATCTCATATACTGTAATGTTTTATGTAACTCAAGTACAGCCAGTGATAAAAAATATGCACTATGATAGATTAAAGCACTAAGCAAAACTTTGGTGACACGTTAAATGTAGTGGCAGAATAGTGTGCAGATGCATATAAACGGCGCTGAATGAAAAGTGAGAGAATATCCAGCTACTAAAAGACCACAGCAGTGGAGTACAAACAATAGTGAGCTTTCATCGACTTCACATTACATTGAAGAAATCTCCACAACTCCAGCCATAGGCCACTGAATTCAGAAATCCTTGAATTGAATCCTTGAATTGGGACAGACAATGTATGAACACAGTCTCTGTTGATATCAGAGAGACTGAAGTACAAGCAATGTGGCATCTGTCAAAGTTTGTTCATGGCAGAAACATCGAAGTCAAGAGTACGCACATGGTAGGTATGTATGTATAAAAGAAAGAGGCACGCGTCACAGGGAAATTATTCGCAGCAATTCAACAATGAAAAGCAAAACCATGAAGTAAGAACAAAAACTGAGAAGTGAGGAGCAAACTGTCAACATGCAATGTGCAGCTACAAACTAATTTTCCTAAAACCACTATGTTTATAGCCCCAAGCCCAACAAATAAGCAAGCAAAGCGAGTCTACCTAGACATCTGGTTCTAAGAGGGAGAAGAGGGAGGGAAGAAGTGAAGTCTTTAATCCAAGCACAAAGCTACACCACATGCTAGGTTTATCAGTAAGTACACATTTGGAGCAATTCAAGACTCGATGTCTAGTTGCACCTCCACAGTGTGCCCAACAAGGAAACTGGACACATCTTTACCACCGCAGTACTAAAGCCGTAAGTATTATAATTTTTGAGCTGCACTATTGCTGTATGTGCAGACAGACACACAAACCAAGTATACACTGTAGAGCCTGGTGACAAACAATGCCAACTACAGATAGACAAGGGCAGGGGATGTTGTCTTTAGTAACATAAAAAGACTGTTATTATTTAGGTAGACTGAAGTGTAACCATGCAGACATAGGTTCCAGAGTTTGTTTATGGCAGTATAACCAAATAAAGAGGTGCAAAGTTGTAAAGACGAGCTAAAGAATACCACCGCTAAAGTGGAAGGATGAAGAGTCTCCAGTTGGTTGTGGTGGCAGCATTTGCTTTCTCTCTCTTGGAGACTGGAGCTTCCCAATGTGATGGTGAGAAATTCGTAAGTAAAATAGCTTGATTACCAAGGTTCTATGTATATCACTAGTTGTGAGGCTAGCTGCAGCAGTACATGAGACACTGAGTCCATTCATGACTGAAATAAGGGAAGATCTTAGCAGAATTGAAAGTAAAGTAGATTCTCTGAGTGGAGATATTGAAGAACACAAGAACAAGACTGCTGCTGAACTCAGTATGACAGTGACGACTGCGCACTCTGAACTGGAGCGAAATGTACTGACCAATGTTACAAAGGAACTGAAGAAGACTGCTGACTATATACTTGAACTTGCACACACATATGAATGTGGAGGTACAGGAGGTTGGAGACGTGTGGTCTACCTGAACATGACAGACCCCAACACCAACTGTCCCTCTGGCTGGCAGCTCACTAGTCACTCCAAGAGGACCTGTGGTAGAGTTAACACCAGGAATCTCTTCTGTGACTCAGTCTTGTTCCCTGTCAGTGGAGGAGACTACACTAGTGTGTGTGGCTCTATCAGAGCCTACCAGTATGGTCGCACCGATGCATTTGAGGCTTACCATCGTGGACATGTGACCACAATAGAAGGAGCCTATGTTTCTGGTGTCAGTCTCACACACGGCAATCCACGACAACACATCTGGACATTTGCTGCTGGTTTTTCTGAGACCACACCCTCTCGGGATGATGTATGTCCTTGTGATGCTAGCATCAACATTACTGTCCCACCATTTGTGGCTGGAGACTATTTCTGTGAATCAGAAATTTATTACCCAGGGACACCTACTAACAGCTTCTATCCAGATGATCCTCTCTGGGATGGAGAAGGCTGTGGTAGCAACAGTAGCTGTTGCTCATTCAACAATCCTCCATACTTCACTAAGACACTCCCCAGCCCCACCTCTGACCCTATAGAGGCCAGACTGTGTTGGTTGGACATCCATGGCTCTCCAATAGAGTTCATTGAACTGTATGTAAAGTAGTGCTGAGACTGCATGTAGCAGAAACCAAGCGTGGAACATTCGTCATTATAGCTATGCACACAATGTGTTACAAGTCAACAACATAGTATATAGATAGATATGTGCAATAAACATGTTATTAGTTATATCCGTGTTTGGTGAGATCAGTGAGGGAGGGGAGATGGTGAGAGTGTGCCAGTGGTGAGGGGTGTGGAGAGGGGGTGAGGTTTTGGAGGTGTGGCTGAGAGTTCGACCTGGGACGAGTGTGACGTGGTGAGGAGTGTGAGGGAGGGAGGAGAGGGTGTCTGTGGGAGGGAGAGTAGGAACTGAGGTGCGAGTTGTGAGGGTGTGCCAGTGGGGAGGAGGTGTGGAGGAGAGAGGGGAGGGGGAGTGGGGAGTTGCTGCCGCTTGTTGTTGCTGTGTCTCGAAGCTCTCCTATTGACTGACGTATGAGATGAATCATTGTTGCCTTCTGCTCCATAGACCTGTCACAGAGAGTTACATAATAGAAGAGAGATATAGAGAACAGAGGGATAGTTTATGTGAAAGATCGTGAAAGGGGAAATGGGAGATACGAAAGCAGTCCATTATGTAGTCTGTTACATTGTGAGTCTACTCTTCCCTCCCCCTTTCTTCTCATCAGGCCTGGGTTTATTTTGTTAGTTTTTCCTTTGGTTTCACTTGTGTTCACTAACCAAAATTAATTCATTGCAGTTCCTCATTCTTATGGGTGGTGGTAAAAGTAGCAGATCATGCTTTTAGAGTGAGCTAGGTTCGAATTGACCAATCAGATTGCAAAGCCGAGGTTTACTATTTCCCGTAGTAAACCTCGACGGGGTTTACTACATGTAGTAGTAAACCTACAGAAACTACAAAACCTACAGATAAAACAGGAAAACATAACAAAATGTACATGTAAACAACAAGATCAACAACAACTGAATCTACATTGACGCGTCGTCCACGCGCACGCGCAGACCCCCCTGCGCGCAGACCGTCGAGCGAGCAAAACCAGAAAAAGAAGGCGGAGTCGCTACCGCGGCCACTTCGCTACCTCTTCTTGCACTGCATTTTCTGGCGCTCTCAGCCTGTCTTCATCGAGTTATCGTTAGAAGCGCTCCACCATACGAACGAACAGGAAAGCCAGAGCGCTCAACGTGAAGCGCTCACTCTAAAATAGTTAGACGCTGATTCCTCGGTAACCACGCGCCGGTAGAAAGCCTCGTGCCCCGGGGGCCGGTAGCGCCCTCGCTGCGCTCGGGGCGCCACAATGCCGGGTCTCTCGGCTTTCTACTGCGCGTAGTTTCCTCGAATCAGCGTCTAACTATTATGTATGCTCTTTTAGTCTCATGGAGCTACATTTTTGCTGGATACTAATGTGCGAGAGTAGACTCACTGGCTCCGTAAGAGGTAGGAGATGTAGTGGTGAGAAGGTGTGTGAAGGGGAGATATGAGGGAGGGAGATGAGCTGGACAGAGGAGACAGTCTGTACTTCAACTGCCACATGTCAGTCACTCCTGTAGACAGACACACCAAACCTGGGCACTGATGCTACTAGCAAATTGAAACAACTAGCTACCTACATGAAGTGCCTATAAGTCCACTGGTACTTTCTAATGATGTATGGCAGCTAAATTTCCCAGTTCTTGCAGTGGGTAAGATCGTGTTAATGGGAGGAATTTACCATCAGAGTCTGGTAGGTCATGGACAGAGCAGTTGACAGAAGGTAAGAGAATCTTGAACTTTGTGTCCTCAACTCCAACTTCCACCTCAAAACTCTAGACAGAGGTAGAGAGCTCAATAATACCTTTAAAATTGAGCATAAACATGAATGGACAGTGGAACCATTTTGGCCTCATCCTAAGGCCTTCTTTGGCTAAAAGAGTGTTTGTGGAGATAGAAACTGACCTTGCTGCTGCTCTTTCTCTTTGGTTTCTTCTCCACACAGACCAGGACAACGGCAGAGGCAAACACTACAATATGAAGACAATACACCACAATATCCCCTCCCTCTCCTTCTACTGATTTACTAACATGTCGTGAGCCTAACTCACTAACTCACTCACTCTATGCATTAATTTCACCTGGTATTACACTAATGTATCAGTGTGTGGTAGAACCAAGTGTCATTTCAGAGGGCCCTAACCAAAGCAGGTGGCAAGAGGTCCGTGTCCTTTCTTCCAGCTGGTTCTAGCAGCCCTCAGGTCTTCGTTTGGGTTCAGCCACATCACGTCTCCATGGTACAGCAAGTGGGCCACTGACAGACTCAGTCCCAACTGAGGGGGAGGAGGTAGAAAGAGAGAGGAATAGAGAGGGGATGAACTAAGAATGGAGGAACTGCTATCTGATGCAGTCGTACAGAGCAGCGAGTTAATTCTAGACTCTTACGCCCTATCGAGAACAAAATGCAGGGTCGTCCTCCTCATAATATACATCTACATCGCAGGGTTCGACTCCATCTCAGACCTCATTGCCTGGGGTTCCTTTCTCAATGTTGGCTTCTCGCACCCTCTCTTGCCGACCCCTCTACTGTGGAGCATGGTGTGGGGGCTGTTTGCACTGGCTGGACTAGCTCTAGCCATGATGTCTACCTCCCACGAGATCATGAAACTCTTTCATCTGAAGGGGAGCTTCTGTCGAACCCACGTTGAGCTCATGCCCGTTGCCGGGCTCTTATTAGAAGACGTCCCTATGTTGGTGTTGGCCTCTCTCTACGGACTGTCTCAGTACACGTGTAGTACTGGCTCTATCATAGCATCGAGTGACACCTTGGTTCCAATCCTCATTAGCAGCATCGGAACTGCTCTGGCCACTTTCTGGCGACTAATGCTCACTCTACTGAGATTCAGGGATCAAGTGGATGGAGAAAGAGCTACCCGGATATCAGCCAACTGTGGAAATATCAACAGTAACTCCTCTTATGCTGACAAACATAAAGGAAGTTCAACTCTTGAAACGCAAACTCAAAAGGTTACAGAAAGTAGCTCAAATGTGGAAGGGACGCACAAACAAAGGCACACGAACACTCAGTGTCAGAGGAGCCACTGTACACGCAGGTGCAGTCTGAGGCAGTTGTTACAAATCTGTTATAAGATCTTCATCTTCCTCTTTGGTCTTGCCATCTGCATTCTCAGTATCCTGGTGGTAGCAGGTGTCACTTACCTTATGGTCGAACAGAACCCTCTATTTGTTCATCGCCGCCGTGACCCACTCGTGATTTTTGCTCCCTCTGACTCCTCCCCTTTGCCACACCCACTGGCCAATATCTCTTATGTAATCGATAATGACAGGGTTACCCTCACCTACGAGAATCGATGTCTACTAGTGTTCCAGTACAAAGCAACGCAGCACACGATAGTCTACAACTTTGCTGATAAAAACACAAATGCAGAGTGTACTAAAGCAAAGAGAAGCAGTGGTAAAGTAGAAGGAAGTATGGAGTGTAGGAAGGGGACGTGGTGTGAAGATAGACTGTCAGATTTGTTCTATGGCTCCTACAGAGATGGGCAGAGTGGTGTTGAGGTGTTTCATGAACTGTGTATTGCTGTGCATGTGGTCCTGCCACGAGTGACAGCAAAATCTGTCAGAGACCCTGGACTGGAGATAGTGGGCAAATAACAATGTATGCACGCATTGGCTGGCGAATATTTTGTGTTTATGACATGATGTTGGTTGTTTCAGTGAATACCTAACCCTGAAAACCTTTCAGTATTCAACAAAAGTCGATGGAACGAAAAGTATACAGTAATTGTTACCCACCTGTTTGAATCTTGGACTGTATCATGAGAGACAGAGGCCGTGTTGAGTTCTGTCAGGTTCTCTAGCAGAGTTTTTTGTCTGTGTTAAAACTGTGTGTAGTTTTATTATTACACAGAACTCATGCAAACAACTGTCATACAGTAAAAGCATACTATCGAGGATTGTAGTATCAAAGAAGGGAACATGTGGTAATTTAAAGAGGTATGCAGTAACATAGTTCTGAAGGTCAGTATCACTACATCAGACATATGGCATGCTATCAAAATAGATCAGTAGTACACTGTTTGCTTAGGTCATGTCCATATATAGAAGATCGGACCACCTTTCAGTTCGGGGTTGGTTTGATACGTGCGGCAATTGTAGGAGAAAATGAGGAGTCTTCAGTTGGTTGTGGTGGCAGTAGTTGCCTTCTCTCTCATGCAGACTGGTGTTTCCCAATGTGATGGTGAGAAGTTTGATTAAAGTAAAATGCAGGGGTTGATAGCAAAATTCCTGTATATACATCACACAGTTTTGAGGGTAGTTGGTGCAATGTATGAGACACTGAGTCCTCTCTTGACTGAAATGAAACAAGATTTGGCTACTGAAATGAGGGAAGGCCTGGCTGCTCTTAGAGAAAACCTAACCAACATCCAGCAACAAATCAATGCCCTTACTGAGACTGTGAGCAACCTAGAGCAAACCCTTCAGCAAAACAATGATGAACAGACACCTAAACTGGATATGGTTAAGTCTCTACTGATCTCTGTCAATACTAGTATGAGTGAAGGACTCTCGGCAGTCAATACTAGTATGAGTGAAGGACTCTCCGGAGTGAAGGCTAATCTTCTAGAACACAGCAGCCAGACAGCCTCAGAGCTAGCAGGACTGGAGACCAACCAGGAGACCATTGACTCCAAGTTAGACTCTCTGGACTCCAAACAAGATGGTCTCAGTATGACAGTGACGACTGCACACTCTGAACTGGAGCGAAATGTACTGACCAATGTTACAAAGGAACTGAAGAAGACTGCTGACTATATACTTGAACTTGCACACACATATGAATGTGGAGGTACAGGAGGTTGGAGACGTGTGGTCTACCTGAACATGACAGACCCCAACACCAACTGTCCCTCTGGCTGGCAGCTCACTAGTCACTCCAAGAGGACCTGTGGTAGAGTTAACACCAGCATTCTCTCCTGTGACTCAGTCTTGTTCCCTGTCAGTGGAGGAGACTACACTAGTGTGTGTGGCTCTATCAGAGCCTACCAGTATGGTCGCACCGATGCATTTGAGGCTTACCATCGTGGACATGTGACCACAATAGAAGGAGCCTATGTTTCTGGTGTCAGTCTCACACACGGCAATCCACGACAACACATCTGGACATTTGCTGCTGGTTTTTCTGAGACCACACCCTCTCGGGATGATGTATGTCCTTGTGATGCTAGCATCAACATTACTGTCCCACCATTTGTGGCTGGAGACTATTTCTGTGAATCAGAAATTCATTACCCAGGGACACCTACTAACAGCTTCTATCCAGATGATCCTCTCTGGGATGGTGAAGGCTGTGGTAGCAGCAGTAGCTGTTGCTCATTCAACAATCCTCCATACTTCACTAAGACACTCCCCAGCCCCACCTCTGACCCTATAGAGGCCAGACTGTGTTGGTTGGACATCCATGGCTCTCCAATAGAGTTCATTGAACTGTATGTAAAGTAGTGCTGAGACTGCATGTAGCAGAAACCAAGCGTGGAACATTATAGCTATGCACAAGCAATGTGTTACAAGTCAACAACATAGTATATAGATAGATATGTGCAATAAAACATGTTATTAGTTATATCCGTGTTTGGTGAGATCAGTGAGGGAGGGGAGATGGTGAGAGTGTGCCAGTGGTGAGGGGTGTGGAGAGGGGGTGAGGTTTTGGAGGTGTGGCTGAGAGTTCGACCTGGGACGAGTGTGACGTGGTGAGGAGTGTGAGGGAGGGAGGAGAGGGTGTCTGTGGGAGGGAGAGTAGGAACTGAGGTGCGAGTTGTGAGGGTGTGCCAGTGGGGAGGAGGTGTGGAGGGGAAGTGGAGAGCTGCTGCCACTTGTTGTCGCTGTGTCTCGAAGCTCTCCAATTGACTGACGTATGAGATGAACCATTGCTGCCTTCTGCTCCATAGACCTGTGAATCAGAGAGTTACATAATAGAAAAGAGATATAGAGAACTGTGGGATACTTATGATTGTGAAAGATCGTGAAAGGGGAAATGGGAGATACAGGCAGAAGTAATGGCAGAATGGTAAAGATGAGAGAAGAAAGAGAGAAAGGAGGAGGGAAGAGTAGACTCACTGGCTCCGTAAGAGGTAGGAGAGGTAGTGGTGAGAAGGTGTGTGAAGGGGAGATATGAGGGAGGGAGATGAGCTGGACAGAGGAGACAGTCTGTACTTCAACTGCCACATGTCAGTCACTCCTGTAGAGCAAAATTGCCCACTGATGCTACTAGCAAATTGGAAGAACCAAAAGTCCCACCAGAACAAGAACTGTCTAAGTCCACTCAACTGGACTTAGGCAGTTCTTTCACTGGTGCTTTCTTACATGGTAGCTACATTACCCAGTATTGTATGTTAGTGGTAAGTTTTATGGTAGTGTTAGTGCAATGGGAAGAATTTACCATCAGAGTCTGGTAGGTCATGGACAGAGCAGTTGACAGAAGGTAAGAGAATCTTGAACTTTGTGTCCTCAACTCCCACTTCCACCTCAAAACTCTAGACAGATGTAGAGAGCTCAATAATACCTTTAAAATTGAGCATAAACATGAAGGGACAGTAGAACCATTTTGGCCTCATCCTAAGGCCTTCTTTGGCTAAAGGAGTGTTTGTGGAGACAGTAACTGACCTTGCTGCTGCTCTTTCTCTTTGGTTTCTTCTCCACACACACCAGGACAACGGCAGAGGCAAACACTACAAGATGAAGACAATAAACCACAATACCCCCTCTCTCTCTCTCCTTCTATTGATTTACTAACATTTCGTGAGCCTAACTCACTCACTCACTCACTCTATGCATCAATTTCACCTGGTATTACACTAATGTATCAGTGTGTGGTAGAACCACAGTGTCATTTCAGAGGGCCCTATTTCATAGGTTCCACTGTAGCTATCTCTTCTCACTGCTAACCAAAGCAGGTTGCAAGAGGTCCATGTCCTTTCTTCCAGCTGGTTCTAGCAGCCCTCAGGTCTTCGTTTGGGTTCAGCCACATCACGTCTCCGTGGTACAGCAACTGGGCCACGGACAGACTCAGTCCAACTGAGAGAAGACGTAGAACAGAGAGAGAATAGAGAGGGGATTTTGAACTAAAGACTGGAGGAACAGGAAAATGCTATCATATGATGCAGTCGTGTACAGGCAGACGAGTTCATTCTGAGACTCTTACGCCCCTCGAGAACACAAATGCAGGGTCATCCAGTCCTCCTAATAGACATCTATATTGCAGGGTTCGACTCCATCTCAGACCTCATGCCTGGGGTCCTTGCTCAAGGTGTGGCTTCCGCTCCCTCTCTTGCCGACGCCCTCTACTGTGGAGCATGCTGTGGGGCTGTTTGCACTGGCGGGCCTAGCTCTAGCATGATGTCAACCTCCCACGAGATCACGAACTCTTGGTCATCTGAGGGGAGCTCTGTCGAACACACGTTAAG